GGAACACAGGAGAAAAGGGAATGTCACATACCTTTGGCTATTAGTCTGGGCAAAGGTATTGGAGGGGTGTTAACAGGTGCAGAATTGGACTTCTGAAAGTAATTAAGGTACCATTTAGCAAATCCACTCCCACATCATGGCTTGGAGAGATGATGAGTGACCTGAAAGGATACAATTTCTCATGCAAATTTTGAATATCAAGTAATGCAATTATATCTATAGAAATGATCATGCCCTGGGGTAGAGATGGTACTTTCTTAGCATTCCAAAAGCTTTCTTGACTGTTATTCATTTTACAGATAACCTGCCTAGACTGGTTAACTGAAATACCTAGAACAGATAAACATGGTTAACAAATAATTAATCATGCAGTGTCCATAGTTATCCTGCCTGGGCATTTTATCCGTAAGTCTAAACGTTTTAAAGGTAGTGAAGTGTGTGTGGGTTGAAGAGGCAACAATTAATTGTGTGAATGCAAGAGAATAATAAACAACTAAACATCACTGTTAGAAAGGAAGGTATACATTAACCTGAGCTCAAATAACTTCCTACTAAGCCATCAGTAACATGTTATCTAAGATTCTAAAGTGCTAAATTGGTCAGATAACAGACATGTTAAGATGTGAGATCCTCTGAACAATGGGAGAGAAAACTGAAGTGAAAATTGCAATCTCCACCCAAAAGGGACTTAAGTGAGATAAAGTGAAAATGTTTACCATGGCAGGAGAGTAAATGTGACGAGGATGACATTTAATAATAAAGATAACACTGGAGACCTAGGAAGGAAAAAGATGACAGGGGAAAGGGCTAGGGAAGCCAAAGTCATAAAGTTCCCCAGGGATCTGGGCCTGGGGGTTGGGGAAGCTTAGAGGAGCTTATCAGAGTCAGCAGCAACCAAACGCTGAGTGGACAATTGGTGTCAAGGCAGCGGCAGCAGATGTTTTTCTGGAAGAAGAATGGTGGGACGATAGTCACAGGAAAATATTGTGACCTGCAGACAAGAGCTGTGTTTCATTGACAGCTGGGCAAGAACGCACACAAACAGACACAGGGCAAACACAGAGGCTGTGTCCAAAAGCTCTAGCTTTGGTAGGTGGGGGGTGGGGGTGGGGGAGGAGATCGAGAGACACAGAGATGCTAAAAAAATGTCTCTTACAGAAGTGTCTATTAGGTAACCAAGACTGTTGACTGGGAGGAATAAAACATAAACAAAGAATGGGAAATAACTGCCACCATGTAGCTAAAGGTTTGAGATCTAACGTTAGACTGCTTGGGTTCAGATCTTCTCTGTCACTTACTAGCTGTGTGATCTGGATAAGTTACTGATGACCTCTCTGGCCTTCAGTTTCCTTACCACCTGTAAGGTAGGAAGAGCAGTAGCATCTTACAGGGTTGTTATGAAGATTACATGAGTTAATCCGACTTAAAAATTTAGAATATTGCCTCATACACAGGAACATCAGTAAATGTTAGCAGCTACTGTGATAGGCCATGGTCAACTTCTCTAAGTGGCCTTAAGCCATGTATGGTACTTTTGGCATGCTCTTCCATCCTTCCAGGTCATCCATAAGACAATTTTATGGTGGCTGGGTAGCATATATGTTGTCATCACATAAAGATTTCAACTGTCCACTTTAAGGACAGTTTACAGCATAGCTTAAGTAAGGGCTAAGCTAAGGACAATGGCAATATTCTGTGAGGTTTATGACTGCTTACTCCTACACATTGAGCCTCAGTTTCTTATCTGCAAAATGGGTGTATTAGATATGCAGTGGTTTCTGTGAGATCAGCTGTGAAAGTGCCTGGAACAATGCCTAGAACAGAGCAAGTTTCAATAAAAGTTTGCTGAGTGTGACTCTGCCTTGCAATATTGGTGATGGGTGACAGGTATGAAACATTTTCATCTGGGGAGAGAGATCCCAACAGTTCTCACAGCTGCTGGGAAAGGCCTTGGGTTTAGTTTCTCTTGTCAGAGCCTAGGGGAATTGATCTTTTAGGTCAGAAAGAAAATTGACATTCATCAGTTCCAGCTGATTGCAGGTGTGAACAGAAGAAAAATGACAGCCTGAGTTTCTAAAATGGGTGGGTGGTGATGGGAATACATTAATAACTCTCCCCTATGACTTTTCCTCTACAAAGGAAGGGACCTAAAGGAAAAGGAGCAAAAAGAAGTGGGTAACTGATGCTGGGTAGGATTGGGGGCAGGAGAAGGGGACGACAGAGGATGAGATGGTTGGATGGCATCACCAACTCGATGGACATGGGTTTGAGTAAACTCTGGGAGTTGCTGATGGACAGGGAGGCCTGGCGTGCTGCGATTCATGGGGTCGCAAAGAGTCGGACACGACTGAGTGACTGAACTGAACTGTAGACATGAGAGATCCTGATGCTAGAGCCGGAAAAAATGTCTGCTCCTCCACAGGACACGGGCTGGCCTCCTATGGCTGTGACCACCTCTCTGGGTCCTCCACCTGGGTGAATTCATCTCCAGGTGAATCTGGTTGAAGATGCTCTCCCAAAGATCTTCCTGGGAAGTGAGTCTTTCCACAGTCAGAGCCTTTAGTCCTATGGGCTTCATAGCTAATACTCTCTGCTTTGCTTACCCCAAGTCCTACTTTTTCTGGAGCTCCAGGAAAGAAAAGGCAGGAAACTAAACAGGTGGTGATTTTGCACTTTCACGAACGTTCAGGTCTTCATCACCACCAAGAACAGAAAACGAGCTACGAGACTTTACTTCCATTATTGGAGAAACAACCTTTCAGAAGAGCATGGAAGAGCCAGGCTCCCAACCAGCTGACTGCAGGGACAAGTTCTGAGCGGGGCCTTCTTCAGAAATCCTTCCCTCTTCCTTCCCATCCGCTCTGCCAGGGCTGACTGGGAAGCCCCGAGGGCAGTTTCCAATATATGTCTTACAACATCCAGCTCCCACCCCAGCAATCATTTATTAGAGAGAGGTTTTATGATACAAATTTGATAATCTCCCATGCACACTGACACTGTTCTAATTGAAGTTGTAAGCCCATGAAATTCAAGCCCTTTGTCTTCCCGAAGGCCACAAGGTTTAAAAAGATACTATTGTCCTCCCTAACACCCAGTACATTGTCACCAGGGACTGATTAAACAGAGTCCTGAATCGAAACAGTGCGGATTTTGTCTAGGTCCTTTTCAGGCCTGACAATGCTCTTTTCAGTTCCCAACACAAAAGGAGGTTTAAGGATAGAGATTCTTCTAAGATAACTGCATCCATATGGAAGGCAAGGTGGCCAGCAGCTGAGACCCAAACACCCCTCTCCCTTCCCCTCTGCCCTCCTGCCTCTCCCCACCCCCAAAATCCCAGGTGATAACAGGACCTCAGCTACCCACCCTCCCGCTACCTCCGCCTCCTTTTCCTCCTGGGACAAGAAAGCTAAAACCCAAAAAAGGGCCAATGCCTACTTCTCACAGGCCTCATCGAGCCCTTGCTCCCGCCCCTGGATCTGATGCCCCCAAAGTGCTGTTTAAACTCAACCTCCCTTCACTGGGCGCCAGAGAGAAAGGTCCTCACATCTCCGACAGTGAACACTGCACTTCATGGGAGGCCCTGCGACTACGGATACCGAGGGATGCCCAAGAAGAACAGTTACAAACCCGGCGGGGTAGAACCCTAGATCCCGGCCCGAGCGGTACACCGGGGCCGTGGGTGACACGGGATGAACCAACGGGTCCCACCCGTGTTTCATTCCCCACCACACCACCCGCTCCCGGTCCCTCCCTGGCCAGGTGTCACGCCAAGAGGCGGAAAATCACAGCTGCCCAGCAAGGCATAACGGGGTTCCCCGCGTGGCCCTCGGGTCCCCGAAACGAACCGCCAGCAGCGCGCTCAGCCCGGGTCCCGCTGGCATTCCCCGAGCCCTCACGGAGAAGCTCATTATGCCTTCTCTTTATGCCCTTCGTGGCCGACTCGGTTGACTTTCGGAGTTAGAAGCTCCAGCGGCTCAGGGGCCTCCGTCTCACTTTGGGAGCAGAGCCACCACCCCACACTTACAGGACCCCCAGAAGTGCCTCTGCTCCCCCCTCTTCTCTCCCTTCCCCTTGCTTCTTCCTAAAGGCGTGTGGGGACTGTGCTCTGCCCTTCTACCCAGCTCGGGGTGGGTGGGCCTTAACGTGGCGGGTGAAGAGTGGCCCAGCGACCCAAACTCCGGATCGGGAAGGCACTGCTCCCACCTTCGTTTCCCGGCAGACACGCAAAAAGGGGACCCAACCCTACACATTTTATTCTCGCACCACAAAGAGGAAAAATATTCTATTTCTTTTAAAATAAGTTGCTTCCCATACAAATAGCTATTTTTAAATGTACAAATAAGGTTCAAGCAATAAAATCTAGCTCTGGGTCTGGCGGTCCAGGGAAGAGGAGACGGCGTGCCTTGGCGGAAGTTGCCGGCCGGTGGGGGCGCCGGAGACGACCCCCGCGCCGAAGGAGGTGGGGCGGCGGGACGCGCTCCAGGTCTCCGGCTCTAGCCCGGCTGGGGCTGCAGAGCTCACTCCAAGTCCGGCGTAACCCCAGGGGCCTGCGCCCCTCGGCTGCCTCACCAGTTCCAGGAGACCAGGGCGGGGGGCGCTAAGTGCTGGTAGGCGGGGAAGAGGCCGAAAGCCGAGCCAGGCCCGAAGGCGGCGTAGCCTGGCACAGGGCAGGCGGCGGCGGGCGGCGCCCCGCTCTTGTCCCGGGCGGCGGCCGTGCCGCCCTGGGCGCCGCCGCCGCACGGCTGCCCGTCGCGCACCAGCACGGGCACCACCACGCGGCGCAGCAGGCCGGGCGCGGCGCGCACCTCGGCAGCCGCGGGCAGGTCGGGCGCCTCGGCGACTCCCGGCGCGCGCGCGCGCTTCAGCTTGTAGCGGTGGTTCTGGAACCAGATTTTGACCTGTGTGGGCGTGAGGCGCAGCAGGCGCGCCAGCTGCTCGCGCTCGGGCGCCGACAGGTAGCGCTGCTGCCGGAAGCGCCGCTCCAACTCCAGCGTCTGCGCCTTGGAGAACAGCACCCGCCGCTTCTTCCTCTTCTCGGCATCCGAGCCCGGAGACGCAGGCCGAGCGGACGGCCGCTGCGACGAGTCCCTCGGGCTGGCCTCTGGGCTGCTCTCGTCCGAGGCTAGGGACGCAAAGGAAACACGGCCCTGTAAGACGCCGGCCGCCGCTGGAGCGGGAGGGCGCCCCTACTCGCCCGCGGCTTTCGGGATGAGGCCGTTTCCTTCCCTGAACCCATTATCTGGACACCCACCTCTGAATTCGACGACCTTTTAGACCACAGCCTGGGACTGCACCTCCAAAGTAACCCACCCCGGGGGTCTATTAAAACCAATCCGTCCTGGTCGCTGCGCTGGCAGACGAATTCACTGCAAGCTGCCTCACCAAGACCGGCCACTTTGAGGTCGACTGCACTACGGTTTGCCGACGTTTGCAAAGCCCTGAATCCAGGCTCGCCAGTACTGCTCATCCCAAACCGAGGCCAGAAGAACGAGGCCACTTTTTCAGGCATTTAAGGACGGCGTCTTAAATATTTAAATATTCTGACCCCTAGAAACGGAAACCCAAACCCCGGGCGTTAGCGCCAGGCGCAGGGATCTGCTCTCAAGTTATGCCAACTGGCATAGGGGTTTCAGGAGGACAGAGTCTGTGGGTCCAACACTGAGGAAATCCAGACCTTCGGCTGGGGTTTCCGCTTCCCATCCCCGCACTGAGCCCGCTCACTCCCCCCGCATCCACCCCCGCCGCTGTCCTCCGCTCACTCACAAGGGTAGTGGCCGCGCTCGGATTCCAGCCAGGTGGCGCAGGGGCCGGGCGCCGGGGCGCGTAGCTCCGGCTCCCTCCTCCGCAGGTGCTGCGCATCCTGCTCCGGTAAATCCAGGAGCCTGCGCACGGTGAAGCTGAGGCGTCCAGAGGTGGCCATGGCCGAGCAGGGGAAGGAGGCGGGGCAGGGCAGACTTGGAATCGAGGGGTGGCGCGGGACGCCGCTCCTATGGGTGGGCGTGAGAGGCGCACGCCATGAGCTGGCTACCGAGATATTAGCGCGTTTACCGTGGAATCCCAGTTTATATAAACAGCTCTTCCCACCCGGGACGCTTTGAAAGCCGAGGTCCGGGTCTCCCGGGTGTTAAGTACCTGAATGAGTGCTGCACCAAAGCCCCGCGAGCCCGGAAGGTGCCACCTCCGCCCCCCGCCCCGCCCCGTTCCCCGCCCCTCGGGCGCCCCGTTACCTCCCAGAGGCGGCAGGAAGCTGCCCTCCGCATTAGGGATTCTGTCTGATTAGTCCCAAGTGGGGACAGATAATGGGGATTGTTGCCAAAGAATAACATCTTGGGTGGCGAGCGGTGGCCACCGCCCTCCGGTCCCGGCTTCCTCCTCCTCCTCCAGGGCTGACATCGAGCCTGGCCCCGCAGGAGCGCCGGGAAGGGTGGGGGCGACTTGGGTGGGTTTATGAGCACCCAGGAATTTATTCCTTGTTAGCTTTATTCCTCGAGCTTGTTTGCTGGAGTGTTCGTTTCCCGCAATTATCCGGAAAGTGATTTACAAGGCGGCGTTGAACACTGGCGCGCTCTCTTTCTCTTTTTGGCTGGGCTCCTGTAAGGATTCAGAGGCGAGAAGTTGCAGGCGGGCGCAGAGGAGAGGCCTGGCCTCGCCAGCGTCTGTGCAGAGGGTTTCGAAGACCGCTAGGAATCTCCTACACCCCAAGCGCCCGCAACTTCAGCGGTGCTCGGGAAGGGCTGGGAGCATCCGGGGAGCCCCAGGCCAGCAAAATGGAGGCGGAATCAAGCCAAACTATTTTCCTACGAGGTATCAGGCTCGTTTTCCCACTCTGCCCGGTGGCTGGCCCAGGCCCACTCTAGGCCTCACGGGAGGTGGCGTTTCCAAGGGCGCTCTAGGAGGGCGTTGCTGCCTCCTTGGCGTCTGAGCACCGCCTGGCCTCCGTAGCCTCAACGTCAGGCCGGGGACTGGAGGTGCGTCCTCTGCCCCAAAGCAGGCCTTGGGTGCCTCCGGCTCTCCGCTCCACCAAAGCTGCTGAGCCTGGTCTGGTAAGGGACCGATTGCGGGAGTTAGGAGTGCGCCCGCCGGGCTGAAAAGATGGCCTGCTCGGGGTTTCCCGATATCTTCTCGTTCCCTACCCGAGGAAATGGTCGTGTAGAAGGTGCAAGGAGCCGGACACATTTTCTTGGCTCATGGTTCCACGGTAGCCGCGCTTCAGGCAAGGGCCGAGCGAGCGCGCTCTCAGAAGCCTCTCCTTCTGCAGCCAGTGGATAGGGTAGTGGGTTAAATTTCGGTGCGAGCCGGCGGCACTCAGGTGGCCGCACGTGAACGTCTGTATTCACCTGATCTGAACTCGGACCCGGCTCCCGTGCAGTTGCGGCCGCCCCACCCGGCCCGGCGCACCCTCCCCAGCAGCTTCCCTGTCAAGCGTGCCCGAGGCGCCGGGACAGTGCGGCGCCCTGGGTGGTCGGGCGGAGGCAACCCCAATACAGGCCAACTGCTAGGCCGCGGACAAAGGGGAAATGGAGCTCGACGCCCCGGACCTGTTGGAAGCATTTGTTCCAGTCAAGATTTTGCATTTGTTCAGTCCGAAATAATGCGTGATTGACGCCTGCTCACAATGCGCTTTAGCGCGCCGGGATAAATCGGAGCTTGTCCTGTGTTGTCATGGTTTTCAATGGGGTTCAATGGGATTGGGAGCACGATCCACTCTGCTGGCCGTCTCTCCGAAGTCTCGGCAATAGATTTATTAGTTATGTCTTTTTAAAGAAGATTAAATTGAAATGGCTTGGCTGTCCCGTCCGAGCTAGGGCGGAGGAGGGAGCCGGGGTAGAGAGCGGCAGAAGCCGGAAACCCTGCGCGCACAGTGCCCAGCACCTAAGCTCCGCACCCTAGAGGTTGGGCAGGTCATAGACTGACTCAGGGCCGCGTGGCCTCTCTGGCTGGCGCCCGATTTGCCTAGCAACCTCTGTCAGCCCCTCTCCTGGGAGAGGTGGAAGGAAGGTACCGAAAAAGACTATCCTAGGCCAGTATTAGGACAGACTCCCAAATTCGAGTCTGAACTTGGAGGCTGTGTCAGGTAGAAGAAGCTCTGACCTGGAAGCCAATTGGCATTCCTAGCGAACTTTAATCACCTCACCACTCTGAGGCTTTTTTTCATCCGAAACAGAAGAAAATAGATTTAGTAATTTCCAAGGACTCTACCAGTTTTATAGTTACATATCTCTTGAATTTTTCTAAAACTGTCTTCATCGCATCAACCAGCAGACTTTGGTCTTCTTACCCTTCTAGACCTCTCATCCCTAGGATCCTGGCCCCACACTTTCCAGGATGTTCTAGAGGAGGATGTGACATCTTTTGAGTTTCCCAAGGAGCCTTCACAAGACTGGGGAGGGGTAGGTAGATAACAGTTTTGCCAAGAGAACCAAGTCAAGAGAAGCAAAAGAAGCGTCTTTCCTGACTGACCTCTCTTAGCCTTTTAATCTATTTAACATCCTAAGCCCACACTGACGTGTAGAAATAAGCAAATGGCACTCTTCAGTTCTTAAGAGCTCTTCAGCATCAAATATTTGCTTTTACTCTTAGTATTTGGCTCCCAAAGAGGAGATACATCCCCCATCTAGCAATTGTGCTCTAGGAAGGACCAAGCTCTGGGATTAGCTCCAAATATTACTTCTAGCCTCACCTCCCCTGATCTGGGAAGAATGTTCCTGGGCCCCAGGGGTCTGTGTTTTGAATACCCCAAGGAAACTGTGTACCTCCTGGTTCTGGAAAGCACTGTAACTTCCCTACCTCATTGTGGACTCTGCATTAGTCCAGTCCTCCTTTCAGCTCTTCTCTGGGACTTTACCTAAATTATCTCCAAGAGCCAGAGCCCGAGGACTCCAGGAGATAGTTCCACTTAAACTGTGCCTTCTGAAGAAACACAGAGAAGAAGAGGGAGAGCCAAAATTACTAGACGCAGGTGCTTTTTAAAATTGCCTCTTCACATCAGATAAGCTCAAAGACATGGGAGGAGAAAATAATTTTGATATTGGGTCATTAGAAAAAAGGTTGTTGTGATATTAGGTTTTATACATATTAGAAATATCCTAGAAATCACTGGTAAACAAATGACTGGCTATTCTTTTCCAGTTTTAAAATATTCTTTGGTGCTCTGGACACTTGAACTTATTTTGAAACTCAACATAGCTTGTGAATATTATTATTTAATTAGATAAGTATTTGTTTCCCTGTAATTGGATGTAGTACATCTCAATCCCAGTAAGAGTTTTTAATCTTAAAGCATCTGTGCTATAGTAAGTATACTTAAGCAGTCTGCACTAATCACCCTTTCAAAAGTATTAGCTAAGATGGTCATCACTGTTGCGTGCTTGAGAATTTAAGACCAGAAAATTCTGAAATAAAACTAAAGTATCTTGATTTTTTTTTTTAAAATGATTGCATCTATATCTTGCATTCTGCTTTTAAATCCTTCCATTTTGGTTAAGTGTTTCACAAAATCCTGCAAATCTATACAGTCTTGAAAAGAGGCAACATTGCAAATTCCCCTTGATAGATGGAGGGCCCTCAACTGCCAGGACATTTTTCTTTGCCTCATAGCAACTGCTGTCCCCTTTTTATCAGTATTCTGGTTAAAATAGCAAAAGGAAAATAAAAATGGGCTTTTGACATTTCCAAGAAGAAGTGAATGATTTTCATCAGCCTTAGGATGGAAAGAAAAGGCAGCATTTAAAATCAGACCTCTTTGCCTTTCCTTCTAAAAACTACTTGCCATGAATAAGTAAACATTTCCCTTTTAATGGCTAATAATCAATTGCTTGGCGGTGGTCCAGGCCTGGCTGCAATTCTTTCTTAGTTGTACTGATGATATATATACACATGGGACAAGGAACAGCAATTACGTTCAGATTGGGAATTTAGTACATCTCTGAAATGGGCTTTAGATTTTATTGTTTCATGTCAAATGACAAGATTTGAAAGATCCCACCTTAAATTCCTTAAAATATTGACTTTACATGGACTTTTTTGTTGTGCTTGATCACTAGAAGGAAAGTTTTTCTCTCCAAATATGTTTATCTAGTTGTTTAGTTATATACATGCAAAAAATGTAGGGGGTAAAATGGTTCAATGAATTAAAAAGTAAGTGTATTTTATTATAGTCTCCATTTCCTAAAGAACCAGCAAATAACTTTATTTTTAAACTAGTTTATTAAATATGTCTGGTCTTTCTCATGCCTTTGCATGGTATAAGAGTAGCTGTGATAGCATGAGGTGTAAATTGTCAGAATAAAAATAATATATTTGTCCAGAGCTAAACTGCTCAGTTTTATCTAATCTTTTTAAAAAGGTAACAACTTATAATCCTTTGTTTGACTGATATAGATGTAACTTATATCATACCGAACTCTTATTGTGTTTAAAGATCTAGGTCCTAAGTCACACTTAATGTCACACCCAGACACTGACAGAGTAGACTGACCCCAGGAACACATTTTATATTAAACATGTGTTATAATACTTGCCCTGGTACATCACAGACAGACCTGCCTACAGGGCATGCATATGACTTCAATTCAAGTCAGTTGTTACTATTTTTCCGTAAGTTACCCAAGCAATTATGAGGTCTTTTTAAATATACCTTTACTTTGTCTGATAGTAGGGATTTTTAAAGGGCTGCATTATTAAGATGAGATACTATTTGTCTTATTTGACAGCAATTCAAACTCTAAACCAGTTATTATTCTGGGAGAGTCTTTGTTAATACTTGCTGAAAACAAGGACCACAGTCTTTCAGAATCAAATATACCATTTTCTTATCAGTGATGAGGATAGCATTAGTAATATAATGTCACTTCATGTTTCGTACATTTGAGAATGTTTGCAACGTGCCCTCACCCTTGTTATCACAGGACAGATTACCTA